GTCCTGGGTTCAAAAATAAAATAAATTTTCAAATATCATTGTGTTAAGAATTGTAATGGGGAAATTATAAAACATGGACAAATATAAGAATAGATGTTTCAGAGAAAGCAATGAAAAATCTGAGAAAGACAATGGAAGAGCAAAAAAAAAATGTAAAAGAGAAAGCACAATTTTTCTCTACCTTTCATGATTTTTGCTTTAATACTTACTCTTAGTAAATAAGGTTTACATTTCTTTTGTAGAAGGGATATATACCCTACAAGATTTCTTATCTGTAATTTCCAGTGGCAAAAGACTGATTTTCAAGAGGAAAACAGTTATAAGTTTAATAATATGTATACCTCATACACATGGGGTAAATAAGTCAGGAAAAGGAGCATTTCTAGGGTAGATCTTGAAGAGTTATCTTCTTATCAAAGTTACATATTAGAGGAGGCCTGACTTTATTCCCAACAAACCAAATCTTGTCACTTGCAGCAAGTATCAAAAGGAAAAAATTATGGTGAAAAGTAAGGAAAAAAACTTAGATAGCTCAGCAGATTAAAGGGCCTGGTAGGAAGATGAAGGGAACAGGATTTGATCCCCAGCATGCCATGCTGGCCTCGCCCTCAGGGTATGCTGAGACAGAGATTGAGACTGAGAATGGTGGCATGCCCCCTGTAATCCTAGCACCTGGGAGGTTGAAGACAGAAGGATCACTAGGAGTCTGATCTGTGTAATGAGACCCTGTAGACCATGTATTAAATACATTAGATAGATAGATAGATAGATAGATAGATAGATAGATAGATAGATAGATAGATAAAAAGATGGACCCAAATAGCTGTATCAGGAAGAGAAAAAAAGACCAAGCATCCTCAGTCTAAGTTTGAAAGTGCAAAAAGGGGGAAGAATTGATGCGGGAGGGAGAGATATGTCTAATTAAGCAGTCTTGGTCACACTGTGGGCAACTTGATCACTGTTTCAGGTCAGGTTTTGTGAGGTGGCTCTGGAGGAGTTAGCATTTGGGACTGACTCTTGTATATGAGAGAGTCATGAGATGATCATTATTGCTTGGGTGGGGCCAACCTTGTGGTGGGTATGCACATGGGAGATTTACTATGTCTAGCAGGTAGAGAAAGGGCAACAGCCTTCTGGTGCTATTCTGTTGGTCTAGACAGGTATTGTATTTTATATTATACCATTACACAAGCACTACT